ATTTGAACCAGTCATATCTTAATTTGGAGCCATGGAACTCCATGGGTTAATGGATGCTCACATGGCATGAAATTCATCCTTCTAAAGTGTACAATTCAATGAATTTTAGTGTATTCATAGTTGAGCAACAACCATTATTATCTAATTTTAGAACCCTACTATCAATCCCCCACCAGAAAAAAACCCATACCCACAAAAGAAACCCCAGACCCTCTTCACTATTTCCTGCCCAGCCTCTGCAGCTACGAACAGGCTTTGTGTTTCTATCCTCTCAACTGTTTTCGGCATTTCATATAAATGGGATTACACAGTGCATGGCCTTTTGTAATTGCCTTCTTCTCACTTACCGTAATGTCTTTGAGGTTCATTCATATTGTGCATGTATGAAAATGTCATTTCTTTATGGCCAAAGAATTTTCTGTTATGTGGGTTTACCATAATTGCAATTATTAATATTATTTTTGAGTCACAAATCACAGTGTGCACAGTTATGGGCTACAGTGTGATTTTTGCACAGTACATCTTTATTACTGTAGTCCCCCTGTTGCACAGGAAGCCTCTAGATTTGACCGTCCTGTGTGTTTGATACTTTGTGTCCTCTGACCTACTACTCTTTTCTTCCTGACCTCACCCCATCCACCTGTCCAGCCCCACGCTATACCCAATAATATTTTTCTTTTTCTCTGTCTATTTCAGTTTTTAAAAGATCCCACATATAAGGAAGATCAAGCAATATTTTTCTTTCTGTGCTTGTTTCAATGAACATAATTCCCCCGCTTCATCCACATTGTGGCACATAGCGAGGTCTCATTCTTTTTGTATGGTGGAATATTACTCTGTCATGGAGAAATGGACAGGATAGTTTGTTTCCATATCTCAGCTATTGTGAGTAATGCTACAGTCAGGGCTGAAAGTGTAGCTCAGTATGCAGTAGAACATTTGCTCAGAGTGAGCAAACCCTGGTGTTAGGTCCTAACATGGCAAAGCTATATATATGCTACAACTGTAGGACCTGTTTTGTAAAACTTGCTCTACTCAGTTCTACAGTCTTTTATGGCTACTATGTACTATTGGCTTGAACTTTATGCAATGGCCATTTTGTAGGTAAAAAGTAATATAATTCCAGCATGTCATGTAATTAACACTGCTACTTATGACTTTCTTTCTTTCCTTTCTGTTTAAAGTACAACATCCTTTTGTGGACCAACTTCGTTGAAAGAAGAAACATATGTATTAAATAAGGCAAAACAATGTTTAGTGAATTTGGGTTGTATTAATTTTGCAAAGCACTTACATCTGCCTGTTATATTAGAATAACTCAAACTCAAGTGTACTAAATGAAAGTGTAATCATTATTTCTATTAATTTGAAAGTATATATTATAGTATTAATAGTCCAATTTTTTAAAAAGCAATTCCATAGTATTTCTCTTCTGAGGCAGCATTAGTTGATTATTCTAATTTTAGTTTTAAGACCTAAAATTACATTTTAGCATATTTTACCACAACCAGCAGGCAAACAAACTCTTCCTCAGTATTTAAGAGCTGATACCCTCATGGTAGGTACTTTGCAGATTGTAAAGAAAGTAGGAGAAAAATCCCTATTTTAAATACATTTTTATTTAGCAGTGGAAATTATTTTTAAAAAATACTGATTGTGTAGCAGTGTGGCTTATGGCACAAATAAAAGAAAGTATTGATAAGGAAGACTTAATATATAAAATAGGGAAATCCATAAGGAATACAAAAGCTTTTTCATGTTTAAACTCTCTGATTAACCTGCTAATGTCATTTTCACATTCACTCATTTTACAAATATTTTTGAGCTACCAGAATGTTTGAGGTACTGTTTTCAGGGGTTTGGATACATTAGTGCTCCAAACATATGCTCCAAACTGCTCTAATGGAACTAGCAGAAAGAAGGAGGTAATAAATAGTAAACATAATTTAAAAGATAATTTATGGAAAGATAAGTGCTGGGCGCTGGGGATTTAGCTCAGTGGCAAAGCGCCTGCCTGGCAAGTGCAAGGTCGTGAGTTCGGTTCCCGGTACCGGAGAAAAACCAAAAAAAAAAAAAAAAAAAGAAAGTTAAGTGCTATGGAAAATGTAGCAGGAAGAGACAGGCTGTGTGAAGAAGGAAGGCCGTGGCTGGGAGGCCGATGCTCCAAAGAGGGGAGGGTAAAATGCCTTTCTTCCTTCTGTGTTCCTTCCGCTGGCGTTGAAGTTCCTTGGACGGGAAATGGTGTTCTCCTTTGTTTCCCAGCCACAGGACCTGCTAGGTATCTAAAGTGCACATGTGTTCCACCACAACTGGGGTACATGAAAACTACAGGATGCTGCAAAGCCAGGTCTAAAAAAGGAAGGGCAGAGAAAGCAAGACAGTAGTGGCTCCTTCACATAAATATGAACCCCTCCCCCCCAAACACGGAAGTCTGTTGATTATTTGTTATTTGTCACCTTTTATTTTAGCATATGATGTACTTCAGGGCAAGAATTATATAGTGCCTACTTTGTACTGGAAACAAATTTTAAAAATAAGAATATATTAATTCATTTGCATGATTGAACCAGGTGCCCCTAAATACTAAATGACCTTCACAAAGCAACAGATGACAATAAATGAAACTGAAACATTCACTGTGAGAAACAAACTTATTGTCCAAAATCACTGAAGAAAAGTAGATAGTTTACAGAGATCATACTTACAAGAACACATTTTAGGGGAGGAATCCTAACCTGTATGTAGGATTCACTAAATCGTAAAAATCTCTCACAATTATTGCCCAATGGCGATCATGTATTCTTAGTGTAATTTATTCATCTTTTAGCCGAGGTGCAGAAAGAGAATGGTTGTGGCAGCAGCCAACGTATTACAGAAAAAAAATAAAAAACATGACTGTATCTGTAGATGAATTAACATCAAATAGTTAAATCAAAAACTGACTGGGAGGGGGAGAAGGAGAAGGAGTTTTTAAAAATTTCTTTTTGTTTCGGTGGTGGGGACTGAACCCCGGATCTGGTGAACACTGATTACATTCTCTAAGACTGAGTCACGCCTCCAGGCCTGAAAGAACAAAAGAAAACCAAGGTCAAAACAGTAGCCACTACTTTTATGGAGTGGTTCAAACAATTTTAGTAAGTATTGCGCCCTCCAGTGGTTGCTTTTTAATCCCCCGCCCCCCACCGCTCCTGCCCCTCCGGTTTTACCTGGGCTTTCAGTTTTCCAGCTTCAATGTCTGGGTCTAGGAGAATCTTGGGAAGAGTTGTTCAGCATGACTGTCCAATCTCACGCTTACATAAAAAATGACGCCAGTGTTGATGGAGTACCTCATATATGACGATTAAGTCCAGGCTCCCCAAGATAGGTCTACAGAAAGGCAGTCAGGCTCGATTTATCTGACTGCCACAGTGGAAATGAGAGAAAAGCTGTTGACATAATTACCCCAGGTTTTGCAGACCTCAAGTACAGTCCGGCACCATCTGAAGCTGAGCTGCTTCACAGGATGATTGCAGTGTGTTTTAAAGAGGAAGATTACTGCTTTAGCAAATGAAAGGTTTACAAAGTGGAAGACAAAGGACATGTCTGGAGTCTGTTTTGTCTGCAGCGAGTATGAGGAGAGAGGAGAGAAAGGAGGCCCTGGGTTGAAAGCACAGACAGTGACAGTCAGGAAGCCAGGCCTGATTTGTGATGTTGCTCACACTCCCTGGGCCTCAGCTTTGTGACCTGTGAAGCAAAGGGTATGGAACAAGCTGAGAGGGCTCCACAAATCCAGTGTATGTACACCAGGGGGAGAAGCAGGTTCAACTTCATACCAAAAAACCCAAATGAATATTTATGAAAGCAAAATTAGCTGCTGACCTGAAATTCATTTTAACAAATTAAAACTATCATATAAAACTGACAGAGATAGTTCTTTCAAGAAAGAAAAGAACGAAGCGTGTGATTTTGTCTCTAAATTTCCTCTACTGTAGTTTCCTTCCCTCTGCTCTCTGGTCACCTTATTTTCTTCCTCCTTACTTTCTGTTTCCGGTAACCATGGTGATACGCCCTCTCCGTGCAGCTGGCCCTTTTGGTGCGCATCGAATTTTACTCCATTCACTGGTACAGGGCACGAACAATGCCATAAAAATTAATTTACTTATTAACATTTCTCTTCTTCCTTTTCTCCAGAAATACATGCAGGGAATTACTCTACATTTAACCTCCCTACATAAGGGGCATTGTAAAACAGGGACATTCAACTGTTAATTTCAGTTACTGACATGAAAGGGATACTGATTATGCCAAAGATTCAATTCTCTGCCTCGACCCTTGGGGACTGTTGAGTCCCAGTACTCAGACTGGTTACCACTTCCTTTTGCTTTTGGATGGAAACAGAATAAAATGGATTGTTCACTGAAATACGTATCAACCCTTTTGTTTTGTTCTGTTTTGTTTTGTCCTTACTCTTTTGTAAATATTACCAAGTATGTACTTATTATACATAAAAGGGGATTGAATTTTCTACAGGAAAACATACATTAGTGTGTGTATTTCTTATTTGTATTTAGAATACAAATAAGCATTTTATATTTTGAATATCAGTAAGTGATATGCAACAGTTTTTAAAATATCATTACTGTCTGCCAGTGAGAAAACATAAGACTCTGGTGTCCTTCATGCAAATAGTAAAAAATTCTCTAAAACTATCATTTATTCATGTTCAGTTTGTGTAGCTTAACTTGTTTGTAATCTTAGACTGCTGAAGATTGTCTGTATTTAAGCACTCTGTGTGTGTGTGTGTGTGTATGTGTGTGTGTGTGTGTGTGTGTGTGTGTGTGTGGTGTGTGCGTGCCTGGCATTAACACAAAGGAGACCAGATGATGACATTCATAGGCTTATAGACTGCTCCTGGGGACACACTTGGACGGAGGCAATTAAAATGCCTGTCAGGCATTTGGTACCAGAAGCCTATATGGCAAATCACTAGATCGGAAGCCAGGGCTGCATCCTATTGTCAGTGAATGATGGCGGAGCTGAGTGGCTTGTCATCATTCTCGAAAATTCTGAGGGTAGGGAGCTCTCTCTCCTTCTCCCACTCGCCTTATTTTCCTTTTCGCCACTGCGGGGACTTTTTCTAATTTGCAGCCTCCCTTTCCCCGACACACACAGACGGGAGCTGGTGGCTTGCAGACTGCGTCTGTCTGGAGCTAGAAAGCCGGAGAGCCAGCCTGGGAATAAGGCTACTGGAGAGGAACTCTGCAGCAGTTCTCGAGGGCTAGACTGGGGAGGATTGCTGCATCCACGCTGGTAATGGTTTGGGGCTTTACGTTTTCATTTTGTTTTATTTTTAATGTATTTTTCAAAGGGTCTGTTTTATGCCATCTCAGAGTAAGATGCTTTAACATTCATTATTGAGCCTAACAATTCAAGGGCTGCATTTCTCATACTACAAAGATCAAAGCATAGATTTATTATCTGGATATAAAGAATGCATTTGCTTACTGGTGAGTTGCAATTTTTGATATTTAGTTAATAAATCTGTATATATGGTTTTTTTCTTTTGTTTTGTTTTGGTAGATTCTTCGGCTTATCTCTAACCTGAGGAAGCATTGATTGGAAACTACTCATTCAGAAAATTAAAAAGGTACTACTTGTTTTGTTTAGTTGTTTAAATGAGAGAAAATCAGGGAAGATTTGGAATGTTTTTGTTTCAGTTAATCTCTTTATCTTCGGTCTTTTATCCATAAGCCTACATTGATCATTGTCTGTGGCATATGCAATGTCCTATGCAGATAAAACCAATATCCAAGGCTATTTTGATTAGAAATTTTCTGAAAAATTATATCTTTTGCCTATGTTACAATTTATTAATGAATATTAAGATATCTGGCTTATTTTCAAATTGTATTTATTGTAATAGTTTTTTTTTTAAAGTCCAAAATCTTTATCTACATTAAAATGTATTAATGTGAACTTAAGAGAAATGTTTTAGGTAATGATTTTTATCTGAAGGTTTCTTACTGATAAATGATTTTTTTTAAATGTGTAAATGAAATGGCTCACCCTTTCCGGGCAGAATGATCGAGCAATAGAGACGAAAGCCCAGGAATGACTCAGTATTGTTGGGTTTTGCAAATAAAATACTGCAATTTCTTCCCTGATGTTTTTGTCTCCAACAATGAATATACCTAAAAGCCAAGACTGTCAGTTCTTAAAAGAACTGATTTTACATATGCTTTATTTGGAATCTCCAGCTTAGAAACTGATCCTTCATTTTTACCACAGAAACAGTTGAATGCATTGGTCCTGGGCCTCATGCTTTACATGAAAAATATTAATTTTAAAATTCTGTTTCAAGAAAAATATTTACTCAGGAGGGCAGTTATGGGTATTACCTTTTCTTTAATTCTTTAACATAATCTTTGAGTTCAGCATGTGTTCATGTGAATAAATCCTTTATGTATAATTTACCTTTTTAAAAATGGAAGACATTTTCTGCCTTGCTGATAAGATCAGTAATACCTTTTCAGCCTTCCCTGGATATCCACATAGGATTTTCCTTAAGACTATCCAGAACATGTCATGCAGTCAACTTAGTTTTGTTATTTTCACACACTTAAAAATGGTCAGTGCTCAACTGCTGACCCCTAAATACATGTGAGTGTATACCTAGGGGTTGGAATATTTGTAGCAATTGAAGGAGACTAATGAATTGTCCTTGGTTAATTTTCTCTGCAATGTTTAATCATGAGAACCTTAATCTATTCATTCCATGAGGATTTCTGAAGAGCCCTGCTTCTGAGGGGGAGTTATTGTGGCAGAGAGGGAAGGGACAGGTGACACCATCCGCAATCTCACCGAGGGTTGGCAGCATCGCACAAGATTTTTGAAAAGGAGGATGAATTTGTTAACATAAATGAGTGTAGGCTCTAAAAGCAAATGGCATTCTTTCAGATACTGAACACCTTCTCATACGTTAGTCCTGGTGAAAGATGAAATTATATTGCCTTTTTCCTCAAAAAAGATTCAGTAGAATCATACATGAAATCCCAAACAATATTGCTCCTTGTGGGTGTTGTCAAACACTTAAACCATTTTTCTTTTCACTCAAAGTAAATGAAGCATTTCATGTTTGGTGAAAGGTTCTATTTGGTATGTTTTTTGTAAGTCCACGCAGCATATATTTTGTGGTCTGTTTCCTCAACTTCAGACTCCTTTAGCAACTTGTTATATTCATTTGGAGCTTTAAGATATTTATATAGAATAGAAAAAGATGAAATTATTATTTAACTTCTGAAAAGAAAAATGTCTGCAACACATTGCCAGTAGAAATGAATGAGCTGTGTTGCAGTTTGGGTGTTGAAGAAGCAGCATGTGATCTAACCACGTGGCTCGTAGAGCCTACATTTTGTGGACCCATCTTGAAACTCCTCTGTGGTGTGCTGGCAGACTGTGTGTAATAAAAACCAGCTTATCCGCACCTTCTGCTAGGGAGTCCGACCCAAACAGAGTTGGACTATTGAACTCTAAGAGAGTCGGGTATCTACATCATTGTTTCTAATCAATCATTCTCGGACCTTAATTAATTCTTTTACTAACTGTTTTTCACTCATGTTTTTAGTACATAGTGCTGGGATAAAGGAGGAGGTCAGTAAATTCTTATTAATTAGTTAATGAATAAATGAGTTCATCGGAATTTTCTCCCATTTTATTTGTTTTGGCCTTTCATGATATGACACACTGTAAAATAGACACTGAGTACTTTCAGTGATTAAACAAATGTTTACTATATGTTTTTAGTTAATAATAAGTAAGTAGGAGAGGGTGGAAAAGAAAATGAAGTACGTTTAGACATTTCTTCAAGTTCTATGGAAAAAGATTTTTCAAGATTTGGAGTAAGATGGAAAGATTTTCTGAAATGTCCCTTTCACTTTGCTCATGTAGGGGATGGTGCCAACCTGCAGCATAGGCTTTGCTTATGGATGCTTCCTAAATACGACTCTCCCAGCCTTGGCATTGTTTATGCTTTTGATGTCTTTGGCCAAGGGTTCGCTGCAGCAGAGAGGAGGAGGACTCTCTCTCTCTCTCTCTCCCTCTCTCTCTCTCTCTCTCCCTCCCTTTCTCTCTCTTTCTCTCCCTTTCTCCCTCTCTCTCTCCTCTCTCTCCTTTCTGTGATGCTATTTAATACTAGAAATGATGTCATATTTACCAGTCCACCATAGTGAGCAACAAAACATTTACATTAGATAGATATTTATTCTATGTAGTTAAAAGAACCTGTAAAGAAGCTTCTAGAATCACATTCGAAAACCCCATTTTGTCTTGTTGTCATTTATTTTTCATTAATAAAATGAGAATTTTTTTTGTCTTAACTATCTGCTTAACAATGTCCTATGCCCTTAGCTCATGTTATCTGATTTAACTCACTCTGTCATCCTGGGAGGTAGGTATGGTCTCCATTTTAAAATGACTAAACTGAGATTCCAGTTAGGCAGTTAACCCAAAGGCTGACTCCAAAGCCCTCATATAAATGACCAAATATGACTGTATTTTTCCAGCATAATTTTTGGTATATAGTCATTGTCTTAATATTAAATTTATGTGTATGCTACTTACATTACTATAATAAGGTTAAAACAGTACAGAGTATCTGTAAAACTATATATATATATATATATATATACTACATATGTGAAGGCCTATTTAAAATGAATAATTTTTATATTCAAACTCTGGTAAATTGTCATATGCATAGTACATACTTAATTACATATATATGCATTGAAAACCTTTATTTTCAAAGGGGAATGTTACAGAGAAATTTTAAAATGAACGAATTCGTTAAGGAGGAAGGAATGGGCAAGCTTGAAAGCTGGCTGAATCTTCTTTATACTTCACAAAATAGGGCAGTTGAAGGGAACTCTCAACAAGAAAAGGTGGGAAGTAGGAAATGCTATTATACTGTACCATATAAACTGGCTTCCTGAATTCCTAACTGAATATTTCATTCAGTTATTCATAACAATTTAACACATTAAAAGAAAACTTTAAGGGTCAAGTTAAGGAATTTTTTGTAATTAATGGGAAATTATCAGTGGTATTTTTGAACAGGAGATGATTATAAGCAAACTGTGAATTCAGATGATTTATGTTATAGCTCAGTGTGAGAATAATTGGAGTTGTGAGAATATGCTCCAAAAGGCATCACTTTAGATGCTGTAATAGAAATAATAGAATAACCCAAGGGAAAAAAAATAAAGGTCATGGGAGAGCACTGGGTGTGGACATGAGAAAGAGAGCCATGATGTAAAAGGTATTTCTGGGCTGAAGTTCATGTGGGGAGCCCAGCAAACCTTTACTGGCAGGAGGAATGAAATGCAGAAGGACTCAAAGGTGAGTCTAACATTTGATAACTGGAAAAATGACCCAGACAAAGGAACATGAGAGCTACTTGAGTTCAAAGGTCCTCTTTTACTTTTATTGTAGCTTGAGTCTCTCCCAGACTGTCTGGGACATACTACACAGCCAGTAAATAGGAAATGAATGTGTGGGAGTATGAAGAAAAAGGAAGATGTATGTGCAGACTGCAATGGCTGAATGTGTGGGTGGAGTGGACTATAGACTGCAGAGCATGTAGGTTCAAGACAGAGAAGGGAACTGGGTGAGCAAGGTTGTGGGTAACATTACCAAGAACAATGATGAGAAGAAGACCAAAGGAAAAACTCCTGGCAGCACACACATTCTAGATGCAGAATGAGAGACAGGAATTTAAAAAGCTGAAGGAAGAATTTTTTTAAATGCAAAGAAAGAAGGTTACAGCCAATGTAATAGAAAACAAAGGTAATACTCATGTTCTCCAGAATTCCTTTCAGCCTATTGTATTTAAATTTGCATAATCAGGATCAGGAGTGTATGGGTGAATTCTTCCTTTTTCTCACTCAACAGAATCTTAAGTTTCTCTTGTATTATTGTCTGACCTGCATAATGTTTTCTTACATAGATACCGGACATTTTTATTCTCTGGTGTCTGTAAGTTTTACTATCATGATAATGCTGCAATGGAATACATAGTTTGTACTTACTCCTATATAATAGTTCAAATTACTTCATAATAATGAAATCACTATATTCTATATTGTGAAATTCTGGTAAGATAAAATTTGGTGGTTTCAAAATGAACCTCAACTGTTCTCCAAGGAAAGTGTGAGATGACCACAGCACCTACCACATGCCAGTTTATGTAGCACTTGTACTCTCACTATTACTTTGATGTAGATTCTATTACACACACTTTTGCAGTTGAAGAGACAGAAACCAAGAGTGTTGTACACATTTTTGGATTAATTTTGAATCTAAGTCTGACTCAATACCAGTCAAATTGTGGGGACAAGAAACAAGATCTTATGAAATAAATGAATAAAGATGTGGAAACCATAAAGAAATGCACATAGGAAGCCCAGGACTCAAAACAGAGAGATAAAACATGAAAAGCAAAATGGTAGTGAGCTTTTGCTGCTTATTAACATGAGAAATCCCACAGCAGAGGCAGCGGAAGAGAGAAGGGTGCTATACATGGGAGCAGAAGGATACATTTATAGAACCAGGTCCTAACCGGAAGGGATAAATAATATAGACAAGGATATT